AATAATAATGGCATAACAATTTAAGATGAAAAAAGGGAATGATTAAATGAATTCAACAGCTTTTCTGTTGACCTAATAGCCGCTGGCTCGCAGAGGAATTAAGTTACTCTTTGCAGTTATAATAAGAAAGTATGATAGCAAATCCATTAATTTAAACTGATAATGATGGGAACTGTGCCTAAACGAAAAATCGTACTGTTTTCTGAATGAAAACAGAATGATTATTATTCGAACCTGTTTGCTGTGAATATTCAAATTTATTTCTTAGATGACAGTACCAAGGCCATTTTCCAGATGAGAGTACCAAAACTTATTTCTTGTATCCAAAGCAGAAACCACAAGTACCCATGAATATATAAGTTTTCGTAAATCATCATATTTACGTTTGCATCACCAACTTCCGTAATTTCCAGCAAAAGTTCGCTCTCTTTTCTCGTCATCACCCACGGAATGGATAATTCCTGTAGCATAATGTCCAAAATTATGCCCGTGTTGAATTGCGATGATGATAGGTGCTGTACATGGGGGAGGTCGAAAGGTCGAATGGCGAAAGATTTAGGGTGGTGGTTTCTCGAAATAATTATAACTTAGTCGAGTTGGATATCATTCTAGGAGAAAAATTCTTAGTGCGGAAAGCGTTATAGGCAGATATGTGTTTCGGAAAACATGCCTATGTAGAATTTTATGTCATAAAGTGGCAAATGCACAGTTCAAAAAAAAAACGCCGCATAAAAATGTTCCTTACGTAATGTGTTCCTTACGTACGACGAAGGACGAAGCGTGACGTACGACGAAGCGTGCGTGGTGCGTATGACATACACTCTTTTTTGTAAGAGATACATGCGTGTATTTACACTCACAAATTGTGAAATAAACTTTACGAAGTTCATCTTGTATATTGTACATTTCACACAAATTACATTTATCGTACATTTTTGTGATTGTTGAACACTTAGTAGTAGGTGTGTGAATTGTATTGCCAAAATTGACCTAAACACCTGATTGCTTTATGATCGAAATGTACGTAATTGTTAAGTTTGATATGCTTCAAGAAGGCGAGAAAATATTGTGCTGAAGTGGTCCAAAGCAAGCGGATAACCATTTCATCAGTTGTATACGTAACGGCACAATTAAATACCCAACGTTATCACTTTTCAGAATACCAAATATGGTGGTTTTGAAGTGTAGATTGATGGCACAATGATTCCACAATGATTATGGAATTATTGCGCCATTAGTATAATTTCTCGTCTTTTTTACTGTTTTAAGATGAATAAATTTTTAACTTTTCAGGTTAAAACTGTTGGATAAGATTATTAATAGTGAAATAGTTGGTTATCTGTGATGTCAAAAGGCACATCAAGTAAACGTCGACATGGCTGCAAAACGCTACGTGAACAAAGTAGTACAACTTCAGGTTATACCAGAGCTTCCACTACAGCTTCCAGTAGCTCCAATACAAGCCTATGTCCTCTAATTTTTAATGGACCATCATTACCTGGTATGCCAAATTTTGCGTATGAAGTTAAATGTAAAGTTCATAGTAAACTAGAATAACTCTTCATCTACAGTGATGGGGATTCTTTTTTCAAAATTTCTTTGATTTTCCACATCAAAAAAGTAGGAATTAAAAACGCTGTTGTTGATGTGATGAAGCACTATGTAACCACTTTTCTCATCTTTGCCGTAATCTCTTGATCTAGATTTTATTCATTTGTGAAACAGCTAACTGTACAAAACTATTGCATTCAGAAAGTTAACCCGTGGAATTTCTTATTCAAAATTACTAAATCTACTTTACATGAAATGATTTTGGAATCTCTGATATTACTTAATTAATTACTTAATTACTACTATGTCTGAATTACCGCTATGTCTGATAGGTGGCGATGTAAATCGCTCTACTCCGGAAAGCATGCCCTGTGAGCCGTCCACTTCGAATGTTTCCAACGTCCACCAGATTGCCGATGAAACTCCTGATTTGAGTAAGCAGTTCTCATTCTTCATGAAAATTTTATCTAACTTTAAATTTAAGGAATATCCAACACTTGAGGTTCCACTTGATTTGGATTAGTTCCTGTCTGAATCACACTTTTTATTGTACCATATTGAATTATATCAAGGACAATCGTTTTTAATGGCTGTTGTACAGCCTAAGATTTTGAATTAATACTTCTTACAAATAATGCAGTTTGCATGTTTACATTTTATTCGGGATTCGGAAACTTACTGACGGAAATTTCACTTTCAGATTCGGAAACTTTACTGACGTTGCCTGTTCTCTCAACAATGGATACAACTGGACCGTTAGCTAATTTAGACGATAACAATCATCGCTACGTTGGTTTAGTCAATCAAGCAATGACTTGTTATCTGAATTCATTGATACAAACCTTATATATGACGCCTGAATTCCGAAATGCGATTTACGGGTAAATGAAAAAATAAGCTTTAAAGAATACTACAGATTCTTCGTTTTCAATAAAAAAAAGCGAAATTGGCATAACCGAAATATTTCATCATTTCATGAATATTTGTAAACTATATAGGTGGAAGTTCACCGGTTCTGAAGCTGCAGAGGCTAGAAGTATTCCGTGCCAGCTACAAAAATTATTTTTGCTGCTACAAACCAGTGATCGCGAATCACTGGAAACTATTGATTTGACTGCGTCTTTTGGATGGAGTAATTCGGAAGGTAAGCAATTCGGAAGTATGAGCTACTGGTCGTAAATGACCTAGTAATCATAGCTCTTTTTCCAAAAAATTTCCAAATCTGTTTTTTTCCGGTCGACTTCTGTTGATTGCACTTTGTGTTTTAACGACTCTGCAAACTTTTAAAGCTAAAAAATGCCTCGTTTTTTTTATCCTTACATAAATCTTTGTTTTTCTTATAGCTTACGAACAGCATGACATCCAGGAGTTATGTAGGATAATGTTTGATGCGCTAAAACAGAAATGGAGCAAAGCAGACGCTAGCTTTCAGGAGCTATACAGGTAAAGTAGAGGATTTAACATCTAGTTAAAAAAAAAAAAGAAAAAACACTGAAGTATTTTACGTTCGTTGCTTCAAGATTTAAAATTTTATAAGAGTATGAAAGTTCTATAGAGGTAATATGGAGGATTTTGTCAAGTGTCTTTGCTGTCAGAAGGAAAATGTCAAGCAGGATGAATTTCTGGACTTGCCATTAGCAGTGAAGCAGTTTGGTGCCATTGATGCCTTCAAAAGTGTGGTAAGCTTTGTATATACTGTGTATACTATAAAACGACTCATTTTCACCTGATTATTTGCTTTATTGAACTTTTATAGGAAGAAGCGCTTCATGCTTTCATCAAACCTGAAGTATTGGAAGGAAGCAATCAGTATTACTGCGAAGGATGCAAAAGAAAACAGAATGCACTGAAGGTAAGATGTTCAGGAATGCAATCGTTTCCGAAATGGCTTAATTGAAATTGCTTGAAATTTCCTACAAATTACATTGATCCTTTCTGTTTTTTTTCCTTTTTTTTTTTGATATCTTTTTGTTTAGATGATTATTTTTTGTATGATTGATTCATATATTCGTTGTGGAATTTATTATAGGGTTTGCGAATAATAAAATTCCCGTATTTACTCTCAATCCAACTTAAACGTTTTGATTTCGATTGCAATACACTTCATCGCATCAAATTAAACGATAAGTACGTTTGTTTGTTTTTTTTCCTCAATGCTGTCATCTTGTTGAGCATTTATATCGAGATTTATATTAGCCTTTTAACCTGAGGATTTCATAAAGAGCTATTGTTTTAGGATGACTTTCCCCGCATTACTCAATTTGAATGAATTCGTTTATGACGCAACGAAAAGTGAACCACCGAAGAAGATGAATTGGGCATCGGCAGTTTCAGTGCCAAGGTTTTTTTTGTTTTGTTTTATCAGTTTTGCGGTTGATCATTTATGTCTGTGATTTATATCATTATGTAATGTTGTCATAATGTAATGTTTGAAATAATCGTCTTCGAAGCTTTCCTCATGTTCTGATTGTTGTAGGAAAAAAGATGAATCGACAATATCAAAACCGAATTTATCCGATTACGGTAATAATTTTCGGAAAAGCTAGATAAATTATAAATTCATTGCTAAAAATATCTAGTTATTTAGTGCACCTTTACTGTTTGGTTTACGTACTGATTATGGATAGTTATTGGCCTGTCAAAAGATGATGATTAGAATACCCTTTTTAACTCTCTAATTAAATTATAGATAATTGCCTTAATTATTTAGTTTCTCGTGCGGAACAGAACGATGGTCATTTGGACGAACAAGAAATCGATATGTTGCTTAAGAGAGATGGTCCGTTTCTCTATGAATTATTTTCGGTTATGGTCCATCAAGGAAGTGCATCAGGAGGCCATTATTTTGCATATATCAAGTGAGTTTTAGTGTTTTGTAATCGTGCTTTTTGAAATCTTTATGAAGATTGCTGTCTTGGACAACGAAGCAAATCTCTCGCATTAATTTTATTATTGTTACTTTTGAATTCTTATGAGGAGACCATATACCAGCGTTAATATTCGAGATTTCCAGTTGTGCCTGTTTTAGAGGCATCGTTTTTATATTACTATTTTTATGCTGATGTTTGTCTATCTCGATTTTAACAGATATTTTTTTCTTGTAGAATAATGGTCATTTTCAGCAGCTCATCATTTACATTTTTTTTTAGGAATATGGATCAGGATAAATGGTTTTGCTTCAATGATAGTAGCGTTACCTCTGCTTCAATCGAAGATATTCATCGTACATTTGGGGGCTCCTCTGGTGGTTGGTCATCAGGAAACACAAATGCTTATATGTTGATGTATAGACAGGTTTTTTCTTTTTAATAATCGAACTATTGAAATTCAAGAATCATTTTCCTTTTTTTTTCTTTGAGGTTTTTGTTATGCAAAGGACCGAACTAACAGTTCTTAATCGAAAAGTTTGAAAAATAGGTTTTTTTCCAGATTGATCGTAAGCGAAATGCAAGATTTGTGAAAACAAGTGAGTTAGCAGGTCATCTTCTGGAACGTTTGAGACGATTTGAGGAACTGGAAGAAGAGAAAATTCGGGAGAAACAGTACAAAGAATCGCTTGTCTCGGTAAAATCTAATAAACTATAACTGACGGTTTCGTATGTTCGTTTCTGCTTAGCTGCCCTACCATTTTATTAACTGTGATGCAGATTCTTAGATCAGATAAATTATAAATATGTCAGTCAGTGTGATTTTTTGTCAGTGTTAGAAGGCTGCTTTTCAATTTCAGGTTAACGTAATGTTCAATGGAGCTCATATTACATCAGATGTTGCTAAGTTAACGGAAGCAATGAAATTCCCATATACGGCAAAATTATCCGACATTTACGATGCAGTTTTTCAAGTTTTTTGTGTTAAGACTTCGATTTCAGCCTCTGACGTTCGTCTGTTGTTATGTAAAGACTTCACTTATTCGATTATGCGTTCATTCACGGAAAATGAAATGCAAAAGGTGGTCGCTGCAAAATGAACAATGAGGACTTTTATTCTTTAGAAAATATCAATATTTCTTTTGATACTAAGGAGTGTCTGCTTGTTCATTATGTGCATGTTTGCTTAGGTCTCTCTGAATAATTTCAGAGAATAAATATATGTTGTAAAATTAAGGAAAATGTAATAAGAAGGAAAGAAATTAGGAAATTACGCAAGTGATATACACGAAAATTTCAGCCATTGGAAGAAGTATATCCCGGATGTTCCGTGAAAAGCTTGTACCGTCCGATTCTATATTTTCTATTAGATGTAAAACCATCTGGAACAAAATTTTATCATATTTATGAGGAAGAGTCAGTTGGCACAGTAAAATTAATCGCTCTTAACATTGAAAATGGAACTTTCCTGCCAGCGTTTCAAATGCAATATCACGACAACGAAACAATGAGCATGATAAAGCAAAAATTGGGGCAGGTATCAGATGTTTTCATATTATACTTGAATGACTAACAGGTTGTCAGCAAGATACTCATTGTTTTTCTTAGCAGTTAAGTTTTATGAAAAATTCTGCGCTCTGCTGATAAGAAATTTCTTCCAGATTTTCCGTGTTCCTGAAGATAAGAGACATAACTTGCGCTTGGTAGTTGACAAAGGAATTGCTGCATCGCCGACAATGGTGTTGCTCGATAATGACAGTTTTACCTGTGCACAAGCACTGCTTAATGTCACAAATGTCAAGGCAAGCATATGAAATTACCCAGAATTTTATGTCTTAGCACTGCTTAATGTCACAAATGTTAAGGCAAGCATATGAAATTACCAGAATTTTATGTCTCTCAGAATAGCTATTGCCACTTTTTCCTAATATTCAGTTGTATGTGGACGTTGGTGGGAATGGATATTCAACGGATGAGGATCGGAAAATCGACTTTGATAAATCAAAAATGTTCGCACTTTTAGAAAGAAAAAATCATGCAAAGATATTGACGATAAGCCTTCCAACACCAGGTACACTTATATATTTTTGCGCGTACAATATATTCATGTATGTTACATATTTCTGTGAGCATCAGCTATAGTGAGAAGACAAGCAGAAAAAGTTGTTTTTAAAAAATTGCTTGGTAAAAAGAGTTACGTTCTTTGTTATAAAAAAGCTTTAATATTGTGCCTATGTTTCTAGCTAATATATTTTATGTCGGACTAGTCATCTAAATAAGTCAGTTTAGATGATTATGTGCAAGCTGGAATTATTCCACCAATCTCGCACGATATAAGTCGCTCAACAACTCCGATAGGGAGCTTGCCTGCTGACACGAACACAACAACATCCTCGGGATCTTGTTCAACAGTTTTTGACCTACGTTGTGTTCCTGCTTCAGGTATACCAGAAACAATTATGATGAAGCAAACAACTCCTTCGATGGCTAGTAGTCATTTCTCTTCTGTAATATCTGAGGAGGATAATAGTGGTCCGTGCTTGGTAAGTAATGTTTTAATAAAAAATTTTTGCAGTAGCACCACATGTTTGTCATTTTTATATGAAATCACGAAAACTTTTGATTTTTCATGATTCAGTTTTAGTAAATCAGATTATTGTGTTGACTCTCACGTGACTGCATGTTCCATAAAAAATAGTGATTATAAACACTAGATTATGGGTCATTCGGTAAAGTAATTTCTTATAACATAACTGTATACAGGATACGGCCGTTTACATTTCTGAAAATACTTTGCGGTAGGATTCGTGAAATTGTCTCATTCAGTTTTAATATTTTCTCTGCTAGTAGTTTGTGCATCCATTCACAAGATTAGTATGCTTTTCATATGAAGGATTCTAGAATACAAAATTAAATTTTGACAAGTTATTTCCGTGAGTGTTATGGAATATAAATTTTAAGGACGGTGATGGTGAGATGGAATCTGTAAGCGCAACATGTACTCCAATGGTATCACCGGTTGTGTCTGATAGCGATGATACTGCTGATATTACTACGAGGGATTCTGCTGTTGATCGAATAAGCCGTTATGAAGTAAACTTTTGCTGCTATTCAATGTCTTCATCTTTTATGACTTTTATGGCTTACTTTTCTGGAAGCTCTTCAATTTTTGTGGAATCATGTCATTTTTTTTCACTTTTTATGGAAATTTTCATGTTTCTTGGTGTCTACTATTTCAGCGAACATATGATGCAGTTATGGCAGCTTCGGAACAAAAACGACTATTTGAAATGGAGAGTACAATAGAGGTTGAAGCAAGTACTGCAAGCTCATCGGGTGATACACTTGTGGGTGGCACACATACATACATTTCCGGCACAACACAGTCTAGTTTTGATGTTATCATTCATGGGAAATCACGGATGAAATCATTTAGCGGTTAGTTGGAGAAATTCAAAATCTATGATTCGTTTTTAATAGAATCTTGATAAAAGAAGCGCATGGTATGACATGGTCTTTAATCATTTTTAACCTTCGGTCACTGGTTCTGATTCATCCACTATTTAGTATTTTTTATTGGAAGTAATGTTTTGCGTGATTTGGATTGAGACTATTGCTCTAGAGCGGCTGTGTCATGATACTGGCATTCATTTAGACGTGGAAATAGATGTGGACGATCGACAGCTAGTTATTCACATGAAGCAATGGTTGTCAGCGGTAATTGGTGTTGATATGAATGAATTTGTTGTCCTCAAACATTACAGTGCTGATGACACTGATGGTTATGAAAGCATTATTAACGAGACGGAAACTATCCATGATGCTTATTACGCTGTTCAGAAGGTATGATATGAATTATGTTAATTTGTATGTTATGAAAATGAAGATAATGAGATTTTTGGAGGGATTTTCAGTCAGGTTTATCTGATATTGAATTCAACACGTCTGTCGTTGATATGGTATTATAATCCGTCTCCATTTTGCGTAGATTTTTGACAAAGTATCCCATTATGGTATTTTGTTTAATTAGTGCTGATTAGACGCTTAGTTGCTTAAGAAATGCAGAATTTTTGGAATAGAAGAAAAACTAAACTCAAAACTTCTCTTTTCGTTGCTTCCTTTAATTTTTCAACCTTTAAAGGACTTTTTTTGGAAAATTAAGGAGAGTTAAAGAAAGAAATAACATATATGTTACAGCTATCAGTGAAATTGCGTTCGCCATTGAAGGAAAATGAGAAGTTGATGCGGATTATTAGATTTGATCGTGAAAATGCTGATGTAAGTTATTTTATAAGTAGTCATTATTCATGTTCATGAACATTATCTAATAAATTTTTCGAAAAAAAATTTTTATTTAATTTCAGCAAGATAAGTGGCCTACATTGTTCAGTATTCCGGTTACTGTCGACATGCCAATACGTACATTGCTGATACGTTGTCAGGAGCAGATGAAGAAGTTGTATGCTACAAAGTACGACCTCAACCAGTAAGTAAATCAGACAGTTCAACAATTAAATTTCTGGGTATCTATTTGTCACTACTTTTATATGACCTATAAGATATATGGTGGATTTGCTGTTGCCATTACTCCCTATTATTTATTGAAGCTCGTCGAATGTTGATGTTCGACTGTATTACAAATAGGTTTTTTGAAAGTAAATCAAGACCAACTATCATATCATTACTTCCGATCCTCCCTTTTAGATGATTAATCTCATAGTGTTTAAAAGCAGGCAAAAAATCAAAGTAGTCATCGTACAAGAAAAGCTTATAATTTATTAATTGATAAGTTGATAATTTGATGTGATGTAATGTTGTCATCATTTC